AATTATTTTTATCTTAAAAATTAATTCTATTATATCATATTAAAATGTAATTGTTTCAGAGGCTTTTGTTGTTTATTTTAGAGGCATGTGTTTATTCTACGAAGCCAACAAGGGATAGAATGGCGATGACGTGAACGCTCGAGTGTGTATTGGTGAAGAATTACTACTTCAAATTTATTTGACACGTCTCAATGAACCTACTTATCGGATGACCAATTATTAAGAATATTTGTGAAGGGATTTCAAAGACTCGGTGGGCTTGTTTATTTTTAATATAACTTTTAGTTAAAAGTTGTCACGAGATGTCGCTATAATGCCACTATAATATTATATGATATATTAGTATATTTCACAAGATGTCACTGTATTACATGACATATTAATATATTTCAAGAGATGTCACCCTATTTTTACGAGATGCAATAATATTTCACGAGATGTCATTAGATTTCGCGAATTATATATATGGCTTCGCAATAATAATTGAAGTAATACCTAGAGAAGGAAAACAAGCAGCAGGTATTGTTAATGTGTTGGGCATTAAAACCACGTACTAAAAGCTATTTAGGGTCCAGAAATACAGACTCTCAAATTTCTCCTACACAAAACTCTCCAGATACACCAAAATAGCATTACCGGTCGCCACTTAGACTTTACAGCCGCTAAACGCCTCGGAAGCGATAGGGCTCTCATGCAGGAAGTTTGAAAAATGAGGAGGGGGCGCGCCTTGGGAGTGAATTTTCGGACGCCACTCCTCACTGGCGCGTAATGATGAGCTTGTGTTGCCAAGCCTGAACGACAAAACAAACGTTTTTTCGAGTGAGAAGAAGTTTCCATTCCTTGTGAAGCTATTTGTCCTGGGGCATGGCCGGAACACTTGATGAAATTAGTGAGTCACTCCTGGTTTCCAACGCAGGGTCAGTGTGAACATTGATTGGCCATTCCATTCACGGCCTGCCACTGACAGTATTGGCTCGGTTCACAAAGCCACCAGACATTCCTCCCGTCGCCATCTTGTCGTCGTAAACGCGATCACGCGGGATACGACTTCTATCCGCCAGACATGGCCATCACATGACTTTGGGTGGACACTGGGTACAGCTGATGATACATGGCTCTGGGTGGATATTGGGTGCAGCTGATGATACGTGGCTCTGGGTGGACATTGGGTGCAGCTTATGATACATGGCTCTGAGTGGACATTAGGTGCAGCTTATGATACATGGCTCTGGATGGACACTGGGTGCAACTTAAGGACACATGGCCTGGTTGGACATTGGATGCAGCTTATGATACATGGCTCTGAGTGGACATTAGGTGCAGCTTATGATTACATGGCTATGGTTGGACATTGCGCACAGCATATGATAAATAACTTGCGTCTAATAGTTTATGTCTATAAGTTCTTTTGAACACGGTCTGAACATTGCATGGGCTTATTTTTTAATACAATTTCAGCTTCCATCTAATGAAAGGTTTTAATTTCAAAATATCACCAAATATCACTCTTGATTATGAATAGCTCAAACTCTACAACTGTTTTACATTTTTCGTATTCCCAAAACTTGAATTCTTCTCTTATTATATCAATTTATAGTTACCATGTCAGGGCTCTTTCGTTTCAAAACGAAGAGCTCAATTGAGACCCCCTTTGAACGACACCTTCATAGGGGTCGCCTAAGACCATCGGAAAACACATTTACTATTAACTATACAGTTATGAAGTAGCAACGAACATAAGTTTGAGTTTGTGGGTCGCCATAACATGAGGAACAGTATTAAAGGGTCGCGGTGTTAGGAAGGTTGAGAACCACTGGTCTGACACATGGGTTTTTCATTTCTAATTATGTGTTGTTTCTTGTTTGCATTTTCTGCCGAAGAAGGCATTTCGCCGAAACGTCATTTTAATTGCTCCGTCTTTTCTTTTCAAGTCTAAACATATCCTGTTCCACTAATTCATTCGTTACGTGGCTTGAACGCAGCCCCTTATATATTGTGTTAGTATTATTTTATAAAGGCTTGGAAAAGAAAAAAAATATTTTGTGAGAGATATAGTTTTTTAACAAAGGTAGCTGGTTTGTTTCTTAATGTAATCCATCCCATGTTATTTCATATTTTAAATAGAGATTCAATTGTTTAATTATATTTAAAAATTGTGGCAGTACATTATATTTATAACAAATATTACTTCTCAGATAAGGTAGATGTAGGTTATACATTAACACTTTTCCGGCAAGTCAACTTTGGTCGATGTGGAGTAAATTACCCCCAAAAATTGAAGAGGCTAATTTCCTCCGCGTACTTGAGAGGCTTCAGTCCTAATCACCATAACAGACAAATTACTCTCCAACCCATGGACACTCATCAGATAGTCGGTGATCAAAAGTTGGTTATTTGTGACCACCAGCTCGTCCTTGGAGAATCGTGGTCGATGTCATTTTCATGTTTACACAGTAACTTGTGGGAAATGTGATGGCATACGTCATTAATACAAAAACTAAAAATCTTTAACAATATTTTAAAACTAATTTTAATTTATATTAAAACACTTCTTTCTTCTCTAAAACATTATCGTTCCCCACTGACATCCCCTAATTGTAATAACTGCCAATAAACCATTTGTGCACATATTTTGCGTGGCCATTGGATTAGTATTTATACTTCTCCCACCTCAGAGCAACCAATCATGTCTACCGGTTTCATGTATATATCTTCAGAGCAACCAATCATGTCTAACAGTTTCATGTAAAATCCTTCAGAGCAACCAATCATGTCTATCGATTTCATGTAAAATCCTTCAGAGCAACCAGTCATGTCTATCAGTTTCATAAAAAATCCAGAGCAACCAATCATGTCTATCGGTTTCATATAAAATCCTTCAGAGCAACCAATCATGTCTATTAGTTTCATGTAAAATCCTTCAGAGCAACCAATTATGTCTATTAGTTTCATGTAAAATCCTTCAGAGCAACCAATCATGTCTATCAATTTCATATAAAATCCTTCAGAGCAACCAATCATGTCTATTAGTTTCATGTAAAATACTAAAAGGGCCAGCAGGACCAGCAATGCAGTTTCGTGCAGTCTAGAATTGGGTGCGCATGGAACAATGAGCACTCTACATGCAAATTAACACGGTATCCCCGGCCGGACTTTGTGCATGCAAATCTGTAAAACGAATTCGGCTTTCCGGAAGGGACTTTGGGGGCCCGCCGCTGGTCAAGGGGTCAATTAATTAAAAGTTAATCCTCTCTTCGGCCCATTCGGTAATTTGTTATTAATTGAAAATGTGGTGAGCCTGTCCGAGCCAGGAGACCGGTTGATAAGATGTTCAATTAAGACCTTAATAAGGACACATGCAGGTTCTAATTAAAGCGGATTAACAGCCGCAGGTCAGCTAATCCCAATACATAAAAGGATGAGCATTGAGAGCCCCAAGCCAAGATTATTGCCTTTTGTGGGGGTGGGGGTGGGGCTGTGCAAAGCCAACGTAGAAACCTAAAGCTGTGTTATAGATATCGGTGGATCGTTTTAGACTATGACTACGTCAAAACTAGTGTATGTCAGCACGTGTGAATCAATATTTGCCTACAATGATTCCAAGACGTCCGAGGACTCTCAAACCGTGGAACGCAGACAGTAACATGCGATTTGCGTGTTTTGTTTTGTTTTGTTTTTTTTGTTTTGTTTTGTTTTTTTTTTTTTAAAGAATGGGGTGGGGGTTGCATTATCCACCATGCTGTGTGGATAATCCAGTCATGGTCAGTCAATAAACAAGTTAAAATACATGAAAGTATTAGCTCATCTACTGATGTAGAATATTCGTCTGATACATTTCTTCAGAAACAGTGCACCCATAAACTTGGCCAGAGTTGTGTTATCTCTCTTCGGAGAACGTTATGGACTAACATGGTTTCCGAACATCTGGTATACTTAAAAAAAAAAGGAAGGTCGTCGTTTGATCAGCGTAAATTTATTACAGCAAATACAATGAAACCTCCCGTTTTGTCGACCAAAAAAAAGCTCCATATATTTTAAGAAATAGTCTCTACTTTATTTCCTTTAACGGATAATTAAAAAAAAAAAAAAAAAACTCCATAATATTTAAAAAAAAATTTTTACTTTATTTCCTTTAAAGGATAAATAAAAAAAAAAAAAAAAAAAAAAAAAAACAGAAACATCTATACTGAAGGAGTTCTTTTGCTAAATCGATACCAAGAAAGTACAATTTTTAAAAAATCGAAAAAAAAAACAACTTTAAAAACAAAGAATTTCTTTCAAAGACGAGTAAAACACACTAAAAGAAGAAAATAATACACACAAAAATGTAATGCATTATGTAACGAAAGACTGTGCAGCAGTGTAGAAGAGCACTATGAAAAGTTAATGGATTTCAACAGAATGCAGACGAAACTTAAATGGTTTAATTTTATTTTATTAAGTTTTGAAAATATTTTATACACATAATTTTTTTGGGTAATGAATTTTAATAAATTTTATTTTTATTTTCTACTTTTTAGTGCATTTTAACAGGTCTTTTTATTTTATTTTTGAAGTATTTTATCAATTTTTTTTCCTCTTCTACTTTTTAGTATTAAAATTGTAATGTTTAAATTATTGACAGACGTAAATTATTTACTTTTTTTAAACATTGAATGCTTTCAAAAACCCAGTTAGTGACTAAACTCTTTTACTTTTGCTACCCCCCATAAAACTAAAAAGTAGATATCTCGCCCTCCAGTTCTATCAGCGAAGTAAACACGGTCACATGTGAAAACAGCACGTAAAATGTTTTAAAAGTCCTCTGCGTAAACAACAAAATAACGCTCCAGAATATGGAAATGCAAGCGAAAATCTATATCTATTTAAAAAAAAAAAAGATATAACGTTTTGCAGAGTGGAAGAAAGTTGCCTGAGATTTTAATGGAAGGTTACTTCCCTTTTAAACAAATATATTTCAAAGTTTTAATGTGGTTTAGCCGGTGTGGTTAACTTCTTTTCGGGAATTAGTTGTTGTTTTGTTTTCTAATTCTAGGCATTTCTAGGTAGTAAGTGAGGGATGTACGAGATCTCTGGTCTTGCTAGGCAGCCCTATTTGCTATGAATTCTAAATATTATTTATAAAACGAAAAATAAATATGTGTGGAATATGTTTTGCGTGCTGTCTTCAATGCCCTATTATCACCGAAAGTAAAAAACCATCCGATGAAAGCACACATATGCGGGTACGTAGCGGTAAACTCTCAGATTTTGTCATGTTTGTGTCGGCGATTGGCAACTAAAAAAATAATACACGGTGCATTACAAAAAGCGTCTTGATTGTGTCAAAATTTCTTTTCCGATCCGTGGTCAAAGTTACATGGAATGTGATCGAGATAGGGCTTGTGTCAACATGATCATGAAGGGAAAAGCTGAGATTCCAGATGACTGGCGGCTAAAAGTAAAAGTCGGTACCGTAAACCGTAAAAGTCTTCAGGGAGCTCGCCTGAAACCCACCCGCACCCCATTCTGTGTTTTACCAAGGTCTGGAGAGCAGTTTTTCATGAGGACAGACATGCTCAAACCGTTATATAAAGCTACATGTCCAGTACCAACACGTGTTTGAGGGGGGGGGGGGGGGGGGAACCGAGGGGGGTGGGGGGGGGGGGGGGGGGGGAATCATCTTCAAAAAGGAACATCCAAGGATGATGCTATACCTTGACAGTTGGCACAGTCAGTTTGTTTTCATCAGCCATTCTGTCCAAACTGCAAACCCATGGGGAAAAGACATTGGCACCAATGTCCCACAATATGAAGACTTTATATTCTGGAAGACTGCCAATCAGCCAAGCCAAGTTTGATGACATACAGGTTTTAAAGCGATTCTGTTTTCTGGAGTCACAAAAGTTCTTTGACGAGCTGCCTACTGCTGAGACTGGGCAAACCGCTGACAGTGATTAAGAAGCCAAACTGGGTAACACATACACAAACAGAGATGGCAGATGTTATCTTCTTGTAATATTTTCATTCTGTTAAAAAAACAAAAATAAAAGATAACATAAAATTACTAAGCTTTTTGTTAATTACTTTTTGTTTTTTATATAAATAATACTCGTCATATTCATATAGTAAAAGGGAAAAACCAGTAATGTCTATTGCATCATTGCATTTTTTAAAAAAAATATTGTCATTCTATTTTTAAAAACAATTTTTAAAAAATCTGGTATTGATTAGATAAGGCTTATTTTTGCTCTTGACCAAATTTTAGACATCTTGACATTGTTATACTTGCATGAGGAGTCTTCAAACTTTATTTTCAGTTTTCTCTCAGTTTTTTCAGTTGTTTCAGTTTTTTCTCAAAATTGTCAAAACCTGACGTCACTGGTTTTTCCCTTGAGCATACATACATAATAATAATAATAATAAAGTTTATTTGAAAAACACCTTCATCCCCAAAAGCTCGAAGTCGAAGCATGGTACAAAGTCAACCATATTAAAAATAGAAATAAAACAATCTAAAATTTACCACATTTAAAAACAGACGCAACAATATAAAGATACATAGGAGCATACCCAGTCAAAGTCTTTCATCCCGTTTCAACCATAAGCAACACAAGCCAATATACATTCATTAACAAAAAAAGATGGTAGATAGCATTACCCCAGAAGGTGTTTGCGAAGTAGATGTGTTTTTAAATCGGTTTTAAAGGACTCCAGTGTCTGGCTGTTTCTGAGAGCGATTTATATAAATATAATTATATAAGCCTATGTATATTGAGTTAACACCTATTTCAGATTGACTTTGACAAAGAATCATCATTAAACAATCGTGGACCTGATGTAAGTCTACTTCATACTGTCCACCTAACGGAGACATGTCAAGGCACCATGCAAGGTTGTGTACTCCATTTACGTGGCGATTTGACACCACAGCCAGTCACAGATAAAACTGGAAATGCACTTTTGTGGAATGGTGAAATATTTGATGGGATTCCAGTAAGTTTAAATTATATGTTGCATTTCTAATCTTTGAAGTGAGACAGTCAGTCTAAGAATTTATTAATCTATCATCCATATCTTTTCGATTCTAAATCATATTAGATTGTTGTTCATTATTTAGCAATAGCATGAGTTATTTGAAATTATAATGTTTCAAATTATGGGATAGCAAAAAACAAAAAAAGACTTGGCACTATTTTTTATTTAAAATGCTATTTTTGAAAATTATTATATGCCCTAATCACTCTTATTTCTAAAGGTGTGTTTTCCACAATTTTATGTATTTTAATACTAATTTCATTGATCTTGTGCCCAAATGGATGTACCATACCTTTGATGTTTTTTAAGTGCCTGCACATTGTAACTAGTTGGCACAATGGGTAAAGTGTCCTGGGGAAGAATCTAACTTCACACCAAATCACACACATAGAACTGTCACATTACCATGTACATAAAAATGGCAACAGATTTGATATTTACAGACATGCATCAATTAATATCACTAGAAAACAATTCATCTTCATCTTTCTTTACGAATTTCTGTTACTTTGACTCATCAAATAAGTTTTTTTTTTTCCTTGGCTCTTTCTGAAACAGGTAAAAGAGGATGAAAATGATACTCAGATTCTGTTTGACGTTCTGGCTTTTTGTGTTACAGATGAAAACATTTTGACGACCTTACAAAAGATACATGGCCCTTGGGCCTTTATTTACTGGCAGGTGAGGTATCAAGAGTGTTATCAGTAAAGTAATAAATATTTGATTGCTGTGTGTATAGAAAGAAATGATTTCACCAGCTATGTCAGAGGTTCCCAAACTTTTTGGTGTCGCTGCTTCATATGGGCATCCAGGTAAGGGCATTTGGAAATATTTAATATGAAAGTTCATCTCGCTATTTAGTCAAAACAGTTTCGTTTTTATAATACTTTTTAAAATACTTCATTAACTTCACTTGAATTAATCACAACAATATTCAGTTGATATTGTCTCCAAAAACTAATTCAACACTAAGATCAGGGTGTTGTGTCACACAGTTTGGGAACCACTGAACTAATTAGCATTAGAGCCATGTAAATAAATTTAAGGTATAGTAACTTAGTGTATTCAGAATTTTCGAGGTCTCTGTTCATGTTTGTGAAGTTATTTAGATTACGGTACATAATGTCTGGTGTACTTATACCCATTACATTAATTACATTTTATATTGAATTACAATCCTAATTCCTTGTTTATTTTACTATTTTCTATCTATGTTTGGTTTTAACTTCAATTTCAATTTTGCTACTCTTTAATTCCTATCATGATGTAGCTTGACATAAATATTAATAATATTCACATATTTCTCTTAACACGCTAAATTGTTATTTTATTTATATATTTTATGTGATCTCCTAACATATTAACATTGGAAGGCCAAAGCAAAGAAGTTGTGGTTCGGAAGAGACATATTTGGTAGACGAAGTCTTCTGTGGCACCTTCCTTCATTTACAAACGATCAGTTTATTCTGGCATCTGTTGCCACTACTGATATGGTTTGTACAATAACATTATTCCATTATCATTATCTTGTATTTCATTCAAAGAGAAGAAGAACCTGTTTTATAGAAAAGAATAAAACATTTTATTTGGTCTTAATGCCTATTATTTATCATTTTATTAATTAAATCATTACATTTGTGTATACAAAAAGCATTCAATGTGACATTTTATTCATCGAATCATTAGATCATTAAATTCATGTCTACATGAAGTATTCATTAGGATATTATTTTCTTGTTGCTAGGTGTATACTGAAATTCCATGCGTGGGTGTTTTCTGTTTGAACTTTTGTGGCTGTGATATAGAAAATAGAGTTCCATCATTAACCCTCCATCCTTGGAAGGAGTGTCGATGGCCTGCAAAAGCTGACAAAGTTATTGACACTCCACAAGAAAATGTATGGACCTATTTGTACCCAGCAGCATCAACTCACCTTCATGTAAACATAGATACAAGAGGACTCCTAAATACTTGGATACCTGCCATCAGTGAAGAACGGGCTGCGTTTGCCTCGTTTATTCCAGATTTTGATTTGAAAAAATGTGGAGATTTACAAGGTGTTATGAGACAAATAATTGAAGAAAATAAAGACTTGGATTCGCTAGCAGATGAACTTATTCAGGTTCTGCTTAGTGCTGTAAAGAAGAGAGTGACCAACTTGCCAAGAAAAAGACAAACACTCCCAGGTATAACCAATGTTTCATTGATTGTGGCTTGTGTTTTAAGTTAATTACTTCTTCAGGATATTCAAACTGATCATAAAGTTATGTTGTCCTACATGTGCTAACATAGAGTTTGCAATAGGTCTTTTATTTGATAATGGTGATAATGTTTTAGATGGAATGCTCTGTCTACAAAAATGCCAGGACTGTAAATCATGAATAATAATGTTAAAATGTAATGTAATAATACAATATTCTATTTAAAATTATTCACATATGCTCAATATTATTTTTACTGCCGTATAACTTGTATATAAAATTATTTTAATTTTCAGGAACTGCAAAACCTCCAGCAAATGTAGCCATACTTTTCTCTGGTGGGCTTGACTCAACAGTTCTGGCAGCGTTGGCCGACAGGTAATGCGAGTTGTATGTTAGGGCTAAGCCTGACTTTATATAGGTTATGTTATGTCTGGCAGCATCCAAGTGATGGTTAGCTGTTTAGACGATAGATCTGTCTTAATAAGAGTCATTAGCTAAAATTAGCTATGTTTTAGAAACTCATTCATAATTAATTCTATATTTAATGCTTACTCCTGTATTTTGTATTAATTAAGCTGGGAAATCTATCCACAAGTTAAATGGTTTACATTGAGTGACCTTTGTCCATTTTGGGGAAAAGATGTTATAAATTTCCCTTTTTTACTTGTTTCCTCTTTATTTCTCAATAGATTTTTAAAAAATTCCTTAACAGTTAAACATATAATAAATGTCTATATTTTATTTTTAGATGTATTCCACAACATGAAACTATCGATCTCCTAAATGTTGCCTTTGAACAAACAAAACCAATGGAAAAGGTAAAATCAAGACAAGTGAAAAACAAGATCAGGGGTACTGGCCTCAAGGGACAGTCACCAGCTGATGATAACCTGACCACCACACAATTGGCATCATCAGAGTCACCCTCTGAATGTCTTAACGGCTGTCAAGCCTCCTTAAACAATTCTGTATGTGCCCAAATATCAATTGATGTGCCAACAAATAATTCCAATCCAGGTTTTTCACATTTGGCCATATCAGGTAGGACAAATGATTCACTTTCTACAAAACCTTACAATAATTCATGTCCTGTTGTTATAAACAATGGTCACATTGTGCAAAGTGTGCACAACATACCTGACCTGACACCTGAAAATGACACAAACATGCTTTGTGTGGGTGAGAATAGAACATTTGACGCCTTCAATGTCCCAGACAGACAAACCGCCAGAGTTGCTCTTTCAGAGTTAAATCCTAATCGTAACTGGAACTTTGTGGAGATCAACATCTCACAGGCAGAGGCTCAAACAGTCAGACAGTCTCGAATTCGCAAATTGATTTACCCCCTTCACACTGTGTTGGATGACAGCATTGGATGTGCTGTGTGGTTTGCTGCTCGTGGTTCTGGTATACTTGCCAGTGATAAAGGTCAAGACTTCACAAGTAAAGCTAGGGTAAAAACTCTGTATAAATAACATAGTTTACGGCCTTTAAAAACATCCACCCCCAAATGTCATTGGAAAGAAGAATGATTGTACATTGGTTAAGGGGAAATCACTCTATATAAATGAATGTGCTTCCTATTTCCATAGAATTCAGAAGTTGAGTAGTAAAATTTTACTCACTTTTAAGGTAAAGGTCAATATCAAGATACATCATTTTTTAAAAAATCCTTTCATAACTTCAGATACCATGTCCAATGTACTTTCAGAAAATGTATAATTATATGGGTCTCTGAAGTCAGTATAGGATTTTCTTATTTTTGACAAGCATAACTTTGCAAATAATGTAGATTCATTTTTGTAGTTAATAACAAATAAAAACAGTGATACATTATGAAAGGCTTTTTATTTTTGGTACTGATTTAATTTTTATTTATATGTATAAAAGTTTCATATAATATATTGTTTTAAGTAATAGAATATCTCTGATGGTTTTATGAAAGCCAATAGGTTTCTACATTCAATTATCATCAAAAATTGAAAATTGTCAAGAAATATCAATTATTCATCTTATATGCAGTTATTTATTTATTTATATTTTTTATTAAAGGTTTTGTATTTAAAGCCTTTGATAATATATTTTGGAGAAAAGATGATTTTGATAAACATGAATGTTGTCAGGTCATATTATGCGGTATGGCAGCTGATGAACAGTTTGCAGGATATTCTCGTCATCGTGTCACTTATAAAACCAAGGGGTATGATGGGCTGGTCAAGGAAGTACAGGAAGAAATGTGGAGAATTTCATCACGGAATCTAGGAAGAGATGACAGGTTACATTTCTTTAAATACTAGTTTAATTGTTGCTATGGCAATCCATTTTCTGTTTGTTTTTCAAATACATTTTTTAAAGATGTCTTTGCGTCCTATCTGGGTTTGATTTCTGCCAATTCCATTATTAGAATATATTAAAAATATATTTAATATTTTCTTGAAATAGTATTTTGCCTAAACGTATGATCAATTTCATTATCTTATTAAAACATGAGACAGGATAAAAACTTAATACTTGCATTAAAAATATGGTAATTCTACATTTGTTATCACTAGGATTATAACTGATCACGGCAAAGAATCAAGGTTCCCTTTCCTGGATGAGACTTTTATACAGTTTTGTAGCACCATACCAGTATTTAAACGGGTAAGAACTGAACTGAACCGGTAGTTCAAAATTTCTAATAACTATGAATTACATAGCTAAAATGAGTAATTTACTGAATGGAAATCTCTAAATAAAAGTTATCAATTTTAATTTTCTTTATTTTGAAGAAATGAGCTCCAAACATAACTTTAAATTAGAAAACCCATTACCATGAATTGTGATTAATTATTTTTTTTAAAAAGTGTTTAAATAAGAAATAGTTATAAATATCTTGAAAATATTTGATAATTTTGATATAACAATATATTATAATTGTTTCTAATAGAATATAAAATAGTTCATAAAAAATTGTTATGATAATTTATCAGTAATATTTACTGTAAACATTGTAATTGAATGTAATAAATCTTAGGAATTAATTTCTTTAAACTGTTTTACTTTAAAGGCAGACTTAACACTTCCCAGGGGAGTTGGAGAAAAATTGCTGCTTCGTATATGTGCATACAAGCTTGGACTCCAACTGACAGCCTTGCAACCTAAGCGAGCCATCCAATTTGGCTCAAAAATAGCAAAAATGGATAATAAAAAAGAAAAAGGATCTGATATATGTCATCGTCTTAAATAAATTATTGTTAATTTAATTTTGTTGCTTTTTTTTTGTTTTTTTTTGTTTTTTTTTTTGTTGTATCGTAACTGCATATTAAATCTTATGTTTGTTTTTTCTTTAAAGATAAAAAATAGCAAAAATGAATAATAAAAAAGAAAAAGGATCTTATATATGTCATTGTCTTAAATAAATTATTGTTAATTTAATTTTGTTGCTTTTTTTTTGTTTTTTTTTGTTTTTTTTTTTGTTGTATCGTAACTGCATATTAAATCTTATGTTTGTTTTTTCTTTAAAGATGCTATATAAAAATGTATAATTACTTTTTTAAAAATAAAGCTAAATCAACATTTAACACATAAGATTTATTATTACTATTATTAATACTTTATTTATTATTTATACACTAGTTTTCATTCAATGATAAATAATGCAATCAAGAAACATGCTTTCATAATTTCGCATTATGTTCTGTTTATATTAACTTATAAGTGCATAAAAAAATAATTTTTTTTCTTTAAAAGTTACAAAATAAATACTTAATTTTGCAAAGCCGATGTAAGTAGCTTACTCTGTTTCTGTCCAAACCAGCCCATTTTGAAAGCAAAATATCAGTGCAGAGTTGGTAATAAGTTATGCATATATTGGGTTAGAAGAATATAAAAAAATGTCCCTGCTCATTTTAATCTGTTACTGTTATACATTTGCTTCATTCACATTTAACAGATGATACCTACATCTTAATTATTGTAACATTCATTTTCTTATATCATCCATCTATACAATTTTTAACAAACAACATTCCAAATCTTTATCAGTTGAAAATATTACTTAAATTACTTAATAATTGTTTCCCGTGATTTTAAGGTGTGTTTTTTTATGTGAGTTTGCATCATCGGGGTTTTTGGTAAACATTAAGGAGAAATTGTGGGCAGTTTTTTGGGGGACTTCAAATGCATAATAGTTTATACTACAAAAATTTAAAATACTTAAGTTAGTGTTAGAGTGAGAGCCCAGACAGTCGATAATCCTTCTAACCCAGGACTAGATTAGAATTAGATAAATTGTGTAGACTCAAAACTAAGAAATGCCTAGCCTAGTGGAAATCCCAAACAGGAGAGATAATATTAACTTAACGAGCCTAAAGATTATTTAGTTAAAATAAGTTAATTTTTATTTTCAAATTTGAGGGGAAAAAAGGGTGACGCCATTGGTAATGTTAATCACGCAAACAAATTCAACAAAAACGCCAAACAGTAAACATAGCTTGTGGCATGGTAAATTTACTGCCGTGGTAAACGTATGCAGATGATTTTTATTATTTACATTTCCACAAAGAGCTCCACTTCCGTTAACTCAGTTGTTACAAAACCAACATGACAGATTAAAACCATATTATTTATCCATTAATTTGCCACATATTCTGCTCTGTAATTTCACATTTTAAAGATATTTCAAATTTTAAAGGTACTTCAGTTTGATAGAATTAAATTAACAATTTATTAAAATATACAAATTATAGAAATATTTTAGGTTAAAAGAAAGACGGAATCTAGCAGCAAAATCCACTCACTCGGCAGCCGGCAACTGATTGAGTGAGAGTGAGACCACTCTAACTCTAGCCCACTGCCAGCCATTGATATAATAATCTATATAGAGTGAAATAAATGGCAGGAAGGTTAAGGGGGGGGGGTCATTTTAGAGGATAAAGTATAGGAGAGATATGAGTGCCCATGGATAATGAATTGAATATATAATTGGGACACTGCACCGCAGGGTCACCGGTCATGGATAAAATAGTCTATTAAAGTAAAATTAAAGTTGCTTCAAAAGAGATGAAAGTGAGGCACAAACATTGAATGTGACTGAGCAGAGAGATGTCAGGTGAGGTTAGTAGGGATGAAGCACAGGGGTTAACTACTTACAGGGGGTGGGGATAAGTGGTGAGAAGGAGAGAGTAGCGGGTAGAGTTCAAGAGATCAAGTCAACAAAGTAAATTAACTAAACTAGTGTGGTGACTACAGGAAAGGGCAATGAGGGGAAAGAGGTTACATGAAGTTCATGAAGAGATTTTGACGAGAGAGATTGGTGCAATAATTTAGAAAGTTAGTCTGGGGATGGGCCAGAGGGAAATAGAGACTGAGTGGGATTGATAGGTTTGAGGACAAGAATTGAGTCAGTGAGTGAGATAAGAAAGTTTAAGGTAGAGTGATTGGGACAGAGTTGGTCCACTGATCCACCTATCTAGAAGAGATGGCTCAGTGATAAATACATTTTTTTAGCCATTTATTAGAGGTTTCTTCTTCCAACGTCGGCCAGGTATAAAGGCTATGGAAATTCCCAGATCAACTAGTTTTGCATTCAAAACATTTTTTTCTTTCTTTTGAATCTTGTAATTTGAATTTTAATTAAAGCAAATGGAGATTTTCATTTGAATATATTCATATTAACTTATTGGAGCGTCAGATTTAGTTTATGATGCGAATAAGGCTCAGTGAAGAACGTGAAAGTTATCTTACAAATCGTTCAGGTCCAACCAATGTTCCCTTTAAGCTGCGCGGCCGCTCAGTAATCTCACAGACACCGCGCAGCAGTTTTGAGTACTGCGCAGCTAATTTCCACTTAAGGGTGTGTTTGTGTCTGGAGGCTGTAAAATTTGCGCACAAAAAAATTGATGCTGTAAAAAATTGCACACAACTTTATGATTTACTCACGAACCAACAAACCTTAGAAGGAACATTGGGTCCAACTATTGGTTTATTCACTGTAAGTCCAGTGTCTGGATTCCCATAAGTGATGTCGCTATGCTTTGGGTGAGACAACTCTTTTCAAATCCCATTCCACTAAGTACACCTTTACCAATTATTTTAAAGAAGTTTTAAATAAGCATAGAAAAAAAATTACTTAATTAGTTGATACTTTATTCACATCTTACAGAAATTTTTTGAAAAATATAAACTTTGAAGTAGGAAGATAAATGGAATCCATTATGCATTTGGTAAAAGACATGTCTGCCTTTAAATTTTGTAATGAAATTAGAAACTGATCTTAATAAGTCAAGAATAATTTACTATAATACAAATCGAATAAAATCATCACTGAAAAATTTACTTATTAATAAAATTTAATTGCAGCTCCAGGGAAAAAGCCCCTGCTCCAGGCTCTGGTTCTTCTGCACAGCCATGGTTAAAGCTAGAAGCAGATAAACACTTAGTATAGTAATTAGTTATAGCCTTGTGGAACTTGATAACCATAGTCATTTCAGTGATTTCAGTTCAGCTGAGGTATAGCCATGACTAGCACCAAGATATTTTAAAATAGTATTACCCTAAACTAAAAATACTTAATTCAAATGTCTTAAAAGCAAACTTGAAAATTCATTCTTGTTAGGACATCAATTTTAAAAAGATGTTACTAAGTTAAATATGTAAGTTCCAACTTTCTCCTTATAAATAAGCCGGCAGCTTTCCCAGATTTTTTGCTACTTTTCCAAGACATTTACACTACAATTTTACTCATTTTGTGTGTATATATATATTCATATTTGTTTCTTCCGAGCATTGCAATAGCGTGCTGTAAGATAATATAGTTTTTAATTCTGTCTATTTGATTTTGTTTTGTTTATATAAATGGTAAAGTATAATTAAATTGAATTTTGTTAATATCACTAGGTAATATTCTTCTTTGTATACCGGTTTTGTAGTCCTTTGTTACCTGTTGTTTAACAAACAAGCCAAAAATTAAAACAGATTGAATTTGCAAAATTATATTATGTTACCCGGTACTTAAATTTTTTTTGCGTATTATATATGTAGTCTTTATCATAGTTAATCATACTGATACACCTATTTTGTCAGTTAAGTACTAACTAAGTATGTATGTTATTTTTTTAACATGTGTAGCTGATGTTATTTAAATTAGTGCTATTGGTCACTGTAGCAAGTGTTTGCTCACTTCCTTGCCATACATCATGTTCTGGAAGATAATGTTCCATTTTGTTTGTAGTTTTCTACTAAAGACTGCTGCCAACTAAGATCCCTAGTTTGATTTTAGGGTAAACTTGTATTATAGGTAATATTGAGCACCACTGTTGCACTTTTGAGTGTACCAAGACCAATGAAACACAGTTTGTTTTCTTGTCTTTCCATAGAATGTCCTCATCTATCAGCCAGGTGGGACAACTCTTGCAGGACAAGACAGCACCCCTGAAAGATAGATTCAGGGCCTTGTTTACTCTAAGAAACCTTGGTGGTAATGAAGCCGTTGAAGCTATAGCAGCGTGTTTTGATGATGAATCGGCTTTGTTGAAGCATGAACTTGCCTACTGCCTGGGCCAGATGCAAAACACTCATGCCTTACCATATCTCATCAGAGTGCTTGAAGACAGGTCACAGGAAGCTATGGTTAGACATGAAGCAGGTATCTCATATGTCAAGCAGCAGTACCGTATCTCATTGTTTTATATAACAGTTGCTCATTTTTTTGTATGTAACATTAGCTAATCGTTGTACATAACAATAACAGTAGCTCACTTTTCTACATAACAGTAGCTGATTGTTATACTAACAGTGGCTCATTGTTGTACATAACAGTAGCTAATTGTTGTACACAACAGTAGCTTATTGTTGTACATAACATTCAGCTTCTAACTTATATTCAATTTAAAGCTTAATGGATGTTCATCTGATTTATTTGTGACATTTTTAGTTATGATAATATTTGTTCATAAACACATTATGCTCATTGTAAACTGCCCATTTTTATTCCCTTTCCTCATACTCTTTTGAGACTTTCAGTAACCTATTAAAAATATATTAGGGATTTTATTTTCTGATATCTGGGTTACATAGTATAATAGATTCATTTTTTTCCCAAAGATTCACCTTAGCAGATAATTACTTAAGTATGAAGAATGTTGTGGGGTACCGGTACATCATATAATATATTATATTATGCTAGGGCTTAATTTACACCTGGCCTGGTTATTTTGAGAAAATTACAGGTGGGTCCAAGTGTTACAAACAAAAGTTGACGTGTTATTTTCTGTTATGTGTCGTCCTTTAAAGTATAGGCTTACAGACAGTCCTATACCCTACCTGCCAGCCTTTAAACAATAGTCCTACAGACAGTTCTACACCATACCCAGATTAATATAATAGTCGCCTCCCCCTAAATAAAAAAATCAAAGTGAATGGAGTTCAGACGTTGCTGATAAAAGCTTTGCTACATGACAGTTTTCTTTTTCACTCATTACTATTAATTTAAAACGTGGAATAGGGGGAGGGTCGGTTGTGAAGAGGAAGCAGGACACACCAAAAGTCAAACATAGATAAGAGATGTTATTAACCCAGTAACAAAACTGTCAGATAAAATTCACCTTTATTTTGAGATATAATGCTTTTCTCTTATGAGGCTGGTATCCTAAAACTAACCAAAATCTTATCTGTGCTGGTAAGGTCAATAATCTTTATCAAACATAATCTCACAGATTCTATTGTTAATGCTCATCTATTAGACGGCACTGGAAAGTTGACATTATTTTCAATCCAATACATTTTTAATTTGTTTCAGGTGAGGCTTTAGGAGCCATCGGAGATTCTTCAGCACTTGAAGTTCTGAAAACTTATTCTGATGATCCAGTGGTTGAGGTACAGAATGATAATTTTAACAAAATAAAACAATTTATGATCTCTATGTCATAAATTTAGAGATGTTTAAGATAAATTCATATTTAAATTAACAAGCTAAGAAATTAGACTAATTAATTAAATAACTGTCATTAGCTTTTTAGAAAATAAAAATGTAAAATGATAGACAGTTGCATACCGGTACATATTTGCCAAGATTAACAAAACTTGATTTATGAAATATTTTTTTTCAAATTAATATGTTCATTTAAAAAAAAACACATAATTTTGTTCTGCTAAGCTATGAAATATAATTAAATTAAGATACATTTTAACTTCCCTTATGTTATTATAATAGGTTGCAGAAACTTGTCAGTTAGCCATAGGTCGCCTGCAGTGGTTAGCTGACCAGACCAAGAATGAGACAGATTTGCCTAGCAACCCTTACTGTTCAGTTGACCCCACTCCCCCAGCAAAGGTGGCTGAAGTTGAAGATTTAAGGAAGACTCTAATGGATGAGTCTGTCCCCCTCTTCCAGAGATATCGTGCCATGTTCACCCTTAGAAACCTTACCTCTACTGATTCTGTTTTAGCCCTGGCAGACGGTAAGAGTGAAAATTCTTGTTCAAGCAGAAACTCAACTGAAACATGTTAAATCATCTTTCACGGATTTTATTTTTGTATCGCTGCATTCTTTGGTTATCCACTAAACCAATGCCAGCCACTAGGAATCTAGGAACATTTGATGAGTTTTTTTATTCTTGAAATATGTCAGCAATTTATGAAGGTGTTAGGAGTCCATATTATATGATGTCATATTTTTGTGTATGTATACATTTCTGAAGAGCCCTCCTACACAAAGTTTCTTAATTCAAACAACCCCTTGCTGATATGCCTCCCACCCACACACACACACACATTTGGCCCCTAAATTAAATCAGAATTATATCAACAATGTTATAAAAATTAATTAATTTTTTTTTATCATTGTCTAATAATAAATTAAGTTTCAAAAACTGGTACGTAATCAGCTGACTTTCACAATGATCTTATTCAAAGTATTAATCTCTATGAAAAAACACTTCAAAGTTTGTAGAGATTAAAATGTTGCATTTGTAATTTTATCTGAACGTTCAACTGATTTCTAGTGTGTTCAATATCCCTCCAGGTCTGAAATGTAAAGGTGCGTTATTCCGCCATGAGATTGCCTACGTCTTGGGTCAGATCCAGAGTGACGCCTGTGTCCAGCAGCTGAAAAAAAACCTGGAGGATGTGTCAGAAAGTCCCATGGTGAGACATGAATGTGCTGAGGCCCTGGGCTCCATAGCCACACCAGAAGCCACTGCTATCCTGGAGAACTATATCAAGGACGCTGAGAGAGTTGTTAGAGAGAGTGCCATAGTGGCTCTGGACATGAGTGAATATGAGAACAGTGAACAGTTTCAATACGCGGATGCTCTGAGTAAACTGAGTAATGAACAAAGTGCTGCTTCTATATCGAAGCCTGTGATGTCATAGTTATGGTTTACTTAATTACAAAAATTTTTCTAAATATGTCAATGATGTGTTTGTTTTTTCTGTGACCGAGAGCATTGAAGCTGCAGAGAGCATAGAAGCTGCTGAGAGCATTGAAGCTGCTGAGAGCATTGAAGCTGCTGAGAGCATTGAAGCTGTGCTGCTCACCAGTTTTTTTTTTTTAGTATTTAAAAAATACACTTCTCACTGTTTTCATAACTAGTCAATTAATTTTAAAAAAATAAACTCCTATTTGCTTGCTTTGTGGTGGAAGTAGGACATAAAGAGGTAAAGCTAAAAGTGCTCTGAACTAATGAAAGGTGGAAAGCAAACACCTTTATTCTTAGCATTTGTTCAGTTATGTTATAGTAGTACGAATTAAAGCAGGAATTGTGTTCCAGTTCAATGAAACACAAGTTACCAATCACTTTTAGGTGAAATCCCAAAAACCAAAACTAAGACCATCGGTGAACGCTCCTTCTACTTCCATGGGCCCACCTTCTGGAACCAGCTCCCCTTCCATATCCGTCATTGTGAAACCTCGTCCACTTTTAAAAAGTCCCTTAAAACCCATCTGTTTAGGTCCGCCTATGACCTTTGATGCACCCTCCTTGCCCTGCCTCATTTTCTGTCTCGGATTAATGCTGTAATATAGGCCAAAACGTGCCAAAGTGTCCTCGTTTTATAGCCATTTTAATTGTTTCTATGGTATTGTAGTTACTATCCTAATGTCTCATTTTTATTTTAGTTAGTTTACATGTTTTTAATAATTTTAAAGCGCTTAGAGCTTTAAGGTAAGCGCTATATAAAAAATGCCTAAATAAATAAATAAATAAGATTCACCATCACTTTTAGGTGAATAAAAGTCACCAGCCCTTTTAGCTATGAGGAGTTCTAAATTTACATGTATCTGTTACCTCCCTTGAAGAATGGAATATCTCCATGGCTTTAGTACGCAGGCAGTGCCGCCGTGCCGTTGTAGAACTTAATAGGGACAGGTTTTAAATTATATTTTATCACAAGTGAAATGAAAAAAAAATTAAATGGTTGTAATCAACTCAGTTTTTGTGACTTCAAGTGACATATGTCAAGTGAAATTATTTTAGTTTTAGGCAGTTCTTAATTGAGCACCGGTACGAGGATTGGATAAATGATCAAGAACACCTTAGAAACTCGTCAGCAGAGATTTTGTTATAAAAGATATTCCACTATTTTGATTTAAACATGACCTCTCACAGGTGACCATTCCCAAAATAACAAATGGTCGCTCAACAAAGAACTGACAGGTGACCATCTCTAATTAACACATTGTTGCTCAACAAACAACTGAAGGTGATCATTCTCTAATTAACACATTGTTGCTCAACAAACAACTGACAGGTGACCATTCTCTAATTAACACATTGTTGCTCAACAAACAACTGACAGGTGACCATTCTCTAATTAACACATTGTTGCTCAACAAACAACTGACAGGTGACCATTCTCTAATTAACACATTGTTGCTCAACAAACAACTGACAGGTGACCATTCTCTAATTAACACATTGTTGCTCAACAAACAACTGACAGGTGACCATTCTCTAATTAACACATTGTTGCTCAACAAAAAAAAAACCCCCCCCCCCCCCCCCCCCCCCCCCCCGTATGTAAGTTGTAACCACCCTACAACTATAAAATTATTAAAATGTAGAATTGTCAGAGTGTTTTTAAGACATGCATCACTTTATAAGGCTACATATAGTCATCATTCCGCCATTTAAACCGTTCCACTATGGGTGAACTGGGCAGAGAAATGGAGAGTTTATTCAAGAAACGATCGCCTTCCAGCACCAAATGTTGCATTTTAGGGGACTTGATTGGCTCATTCAAAGAGTAAGTGCTGCCCTCTAGACTGCTGATATCAGAGTAGGAGCCCTGGATGGCATACACACATCTGGAGAATGGAAAAAAATTTTTTTTCATCATCTGACATATAAATGCAATTAAAGTTCTATGACAATTGTTACATGGTTGATTTGCCAAGTGGATTAACAAAATGGGTTGCCAGCCCAAAGGGGGATGTCATATTTATACAGCTCAGTTGTGGCAGATTTCTTTACCATTTTTAAATAGTTTAGCTGTGGCAGATTTCTTGTCAGAGTTTATGGCTGCTGTCACTGCTATAGTATTATTTCAAAGAAGAAGGTTGTCTTGACAAGATGGAGATGCAGACCCGCATTTCTCTACAGGCTAAATTAAGTAAACTTAAGCCTAGGGCCTCCAAAATCAAAGGGCCGTCTACCGCTCAGGGCCCCTGGTCCGCAAAGTAGGTTGTTGTTGTTTTGTGGGGGGTTTTTTGGTGGAAAAGGGGGGGGGGGTGGTTGATGAATTCCCCATGGCTGATTATTTCAAATTTTGGGGGGGGGGGGTGCCAGTTTCCATTGGCCAAATGCATAGCTAATTAACAGGTGGTAGTTGGGATATACGTCCTGGGGCGACTAGCGGGGGGGGGGGGGGCACCAAAATGGGCTTTGATGGTATGTATTATGATTGAAAATAATGACTCATGATATTGAGATTCACCTACATTAAGTTGTATCCAACAACAAAAAGAAGTTTACTGATATATTTCCAAACGGTTAAATACTACAACACAGATATGTGGGACAATGGAAAAGGAAGATATTAAATACATGGACATATTTATGACAACATAGCTTTGATATGGAGATATGTGACTTCACAGCAGGGATAGGGAGATTTGTGACAACATATCAGGAATAGGGAGATTTGTGACAACATATTAGGAATAGGGAGATTTGTGACAACATATTAGGAATAGGGAGATTTGTGACAACATATCAGGAATAGGGAGATTTGTGACAATATATTAGGAATATGGAGATTTGTGAAAACATATTAGGAATAGTGAGATTTGTGACAATATATAAGGAATAGGTAGATTTGCGACAACATATTAGGAATAGGGAGATTTGTGACAACATATTAGGAATAGGGAGATTTGTGACAACATATTAGGAATAGGGAGATTTGTGTCAACATATTAGGAATAGGGAGATTTGTGACAACATATTAGGAATAGGGAGATTTGTGACAATATATTAGGAATAGGGAGATTTGTGACAACATATTAGGAATAGGGAGATTTGTGACAACATATTAGGAATAGGGAGATTTGTGACAGCATATCAGGAATAGGGAGATTTGTGACAACATATTAGGAATAGGGAGATTTGTGACAATATATCAGGAATAGGGAGATTTGTGACTACATATTAGGAATAAGGAGATTTGTGACAACATAGCAGGGGTAGGGAGAAATATTACAACACAACAGCCCTAAGTAGGTGTGCAGTCCACGACGAGGACCTGGTCGAACAATTACCTCAGCTGTAAGATGCTCGTCCTCAGCTCAATGAATTGCCTCTGGAGCGACTTGTCTTGTTCTTTCATCAGTAACTTGAAGAGAGAGAGAGAGAACAAGTTGGGGTTTGGCGGTTGGGGGTTGGGGGTAGAAAGAAGAAAATTAAAATGTAACCGTAACACAACTTAATTTTTCTTTTTAAATTTCAAGCAACTAATCGCCATAAACATTGACCGCCTTGTCATGCACGCATTGCATGAATTCATTGATCACGTACCTGTACTTTGAAATCTATATAACTAGAATACACACACATATTTATAACGGTATGTCACTGTGCCCCAATCCTGACGCAGAACTAATACAAAAATTTTGCCCAAAATACTATTGAATATTAATCAAATATTTGAACACTGGGGGGGGGGGGGGGGGGGGTTGTCCCCCCCCCCCCCGGGGGGGGGGTTGTTACCCACCCCAGCTCAACAAAGGCACAAAAACCCCGGACTACACAATCACCTCAGACTATACAAACACCTCAGACTGTACAATCACCTCAGACTATACAATCACCTCAGACTGTACAATCACCTCAGACTATACAATCACCTCAGACTATACAATCACCTCAGACTACACAATCACCTCAGACTATACAATCAACTCAGACTATACAATCACCTCAGACTGTACAATCACCTCAGACTATACAATCACCTCAGACTGTACAATCACCTCAGACTGTACAATCACCTCAGACTGTACAATCACCTCAGACTGTACAATCACCTCAGACTGTACAATCACCTCAGACTATACAATCACCTCAGACTATACAATCACCTCAGACTATACAATCACCTCAGACTATACAATCACCTCAGACTATACAATCACCTCAGACTGTACAATCACCTCAGACTATACAATCACCTCAGACTACACAATCACCTCAGACTACACAAACACATCAGGCTACACAATCATCTCAGTCTACAAAATTAGCTCAGACTACACAAACACCCCAGACTATACAATCACCTCAGACTACACAATCACCTTAGACTACACAATCACCTCAGAATACAAAATCTGCTCAGACTACACAAACACCCCAGACTACACAATCACCTCAGACTACACAATCACCTCAGACTACACAATCACCTCAGACTATACAATCACCTCAGACTACACAATCACCTCAGACTACACAATCACCTCAGACTACACAATCACCTCAGACTACACAATCACCTCAGACTATACAATCACCTCAGACTACACAATCACCTCAGACTACACAATCACCTCAGACTACACAAACACCCCAGACTACACCATCAACTCAGACTATACAATCCCCTCAGTCTACACAATCACCTTAGACTACACAATCACTTCAGACTACACAATCACCTCAGACTACACAATCACCTCAGACTATACAATCTCCTCAGACTACACAATCACCTCAGACTACACAATCACCTCAGACTACACAATCACCTCAGACTACACAATCACCTCAGACTACACAAACAGATCAGACTACACAATCACCTCAGACTATACAATCACCTCAAACTACACAATCACCTTAGACTACACAATCACCTCAGACTACACAATCCGCCCATACTACACAATCACCTCAGATTACA